CTCCTTGCTGCAGCCCATGCATTTGATGCATGAGGAGCTAAGGACAGAGTTGTGCCCTGTGTCTTTAGCTCATTTTCCTCCTTCCTCTGTGGGGGGTGCTGGGGCCCCCAGCTCCGGGCCGCACACCCCTTTCCTTCAGGCTCTCTTCCCAGAGCTGCCCTCGGTCCTTCCTTCGGGAATTCCTGGTGGGTTGTCAGAGCTGCCTGGAGGTTAAGTGACTGCTCAAAGTCACACAGACTGGGGCAGGTGCCCAAGTCCGTTAGTATTTTTAAATAACAGTCATTCTTCTTTTATATAAAAAGCTTATATTCCTAAGAAATGTGAACATCTCTTAAGGTTCTTCTGAGGGGGTGATGACATTAAAGTCTCTTTTATTCTGTGCCTTGTTCCAGAGAAAGACAGTAAGCAAAATCCAGGGGTGTCCGAGCGTCTTTGTGGTTATGGAATTCATAGTGCTGATAAGCATTGTGAAATAAAAGTATAGAGCACGCTATTAATGCATATTAACATGTATTTACTAATGATAACTAATCAACATTAGTTAATAATGTATATTATGTATACCTGGGGGATATGACCCCTCAGGGATGCTGGGGAAGATTCAGAACTGTCATCTTTGGTTTGAAGATGATGGGATTAACTGGCAGGTGGGGGGCAGGGCCGCTGGGCCGGGGAGGGGAGAGCATCCCGAAGGGGAAGAGCAGATACGAAGGACAGTGGGCGTCTTCTGACATGCGTGGAGAGCATGTGCCTGTTGGGTGGGCTTGCATGGGAGGAGCCAGGCCTGGGGCAGCTGGGGGCCTGACATGTGTCGATGATGTGATGATGGTGGCTGAGATTTGGGTGGTAGCTACAGACGGAGATGGGGAGAATGTGGTAGATGGGAGAGATTCAGCAGATGAGTCGCCTGAGACTCGTTTGTGGTGCAGAGTGTCTTTTGGGGAGGTGGCTGTGGGTATGTGCCAGGATGGCCTCTGCCCTAACCTGGCCCCCTTGGCCAGCAGGATCACTGCATGGAGCTTTGGTCTGTCTTCAAGAAGAAAACCTCAAATAGCACCCTCCTTCTCGAGGCCTGGTCTGTGTCCTGGTCCTGCCACCTGCCAGCCCTCTACCCTGACCTCCTGCTTGGACCCATTTCCTCGGGGGCAGAATGGAGACAATCGCTTCATGCACAGGCTGGTGGGAGTCTGCACCCCAGATGAACACCATTAGCCTTTGCCGTGACTCAGTACAGCTTGTGTGTCAGCCTTTGCAGGGAGACTATATCTGATTTCAGAGCAGAATCCCAAATATGCACAGGCTGGTGGGAGTCTGCACCCCAGATGAACACCATTAGCCTTTGCCGTGACTCAATACAGCTTGTGTGTCAGCCTTTGCAGGGAGACTATATCTGATTTCAGAGCAGAATCCCAAATGTCTTTCAGCAGTAGACCAACTGGGTAGATGGAGTGGTGGACCTAGCCAGGAACTACTGTCCCCACTCAAGAGAAAGGGTGTTTCTGGAGTCCTCAGTCACTGTGAGATTGTAATGCCTTTTGACTTCTAATTATTTATTTGCTCCATGGGAAGGAGCGTGGAAAACAGCGGAACACAAGGGTCAGCGGAGCAGCAGAGCCTCAGAGCCGATGGGACTTGCCTCCAGAACAGGAACGATTCAACTGACCAAATGTGCATAATATTTTTTATTTAAAAAGCCAGGATTACAAGCCCTGGGAAGAGCTGATGTGCTATTCCCGATTGGCCCAGGAAGGAATAATTAAATCCAGTGACCTTGGTTATTAAGTGGAAAAAGGGCTTAATCAGGCTACTAATTTTGTAATCATCACTTCCTTTTTTCACCTTACTAAAGATGTAATAAATGTTCATTGTAGAAATTTAGAAAGCAGAGATAAGGGAAAAAATAGAATATTAAAATTGTCTGTAGTTCTACTTTTAAGAGAGAACCACTGAGCTTTCGGTGCCTGTCTGTGCATCTGATTTTCCCGTGCACTTGTATTCATGTTTTTTGGAAGAAAATGGTTCATGGAGTATAAAGACTCCTCGCTTAGTAGTAAAATTATACGCAGTTTGCTGTGTCATTACAGAGACTTTGGTACCAGTTAAGAAGGTTGTATAGTATTTTATCCTGTGAAGTTAGCTGCCCCCAGGGCTAGGCACTTAGGTTATTTCCAGTGTTTTGGAAGGAAGTGAAATTTGTTGCTGCCCTTGTTTTCCTGAGGAGGGCACAGCCTCAGAGAGCGTCAGTGATAGATGCAAGCCACACACCAGTCTGGTGGAGCTGACCTCAGCCTCAGTCTGCTAAACTTCAAGTCAAGGGCCCATCAAACACTGGGAGCTGTCAGGGACAGTGGCCGGGGCAAGGAATCAGGGCAAGTGGCCAGGCCAGGGCTGTGTGTTCAGAGCAGTGAGAGCCGCTGAAACGTTGAAGAGCCTGGCACATGTGTGTCTACCACGTCGGGTGTACCTGGTACCGACGCCACTCTAAATGCTCCACAAGCATTGTCCCCACTTCGTGCTAACAGGGGTCCTAGGATGGGTGTGAATGCCATCAGGTGAGCAGCCTGAGGCACTGACAGGTCAGATAGTGCATTTCTCTACTTTGATTTTGATGTTCACCATGACCCCGTGAAGGGGCTGGGCAGAAATCCGGAGCCCCACTTAACAGAAGGGGAAACTGAGGTTAGAGAACTGAAGACTCCTCCAAGGTGCCCAGCCACAGGAAGCTGAGTCAGCATCGGAGGCCACCTGATTGTTGTCACAGATGCATTGGGCTCAGCTCAGCTTCCTACCCACCTGAGGGAGGTGCCAACCCTCCTGCCTTGTGCCTAAAAGGGCGGCCCACCTCAGGGCTGGAGACTCTGGCTTTCCATGCAGATTTTAGTTCACTGTCCTCCCTGCGCTCCTGGGATCCATGGAGAATTCAGCATCCACGTGAATGATCCATAACACACCCAGGCCCTTCCCGACTCCCGGGTTCCCCCTCCACTGTGGACACAGCAGACAAGCGGCCCCAAAGCCTGTGCTGCTAACTCCTTCCTCTCTGGTCCCGACCCTTCCAGCCAGCTGCCACCTGAGCAGTCAGTTCCTTTGGGGCAGTTCTTCCCGTCTGAAGGGAACACCTTGGTCTTTATTCCACCAAACCTGTAACCCGTCCCCTGTGCTGGCCTCCTCCCCCTGCCCTGCCATCTCCACCTGCAGAGCCTGCCTCCCCCACTTTGCGCCTTCTGAGGCCATGGCCTGTCTCGTCAGCACATGCATGTGCTGACCAGCCACACTGGCCTCTGCAGCCCATCATGAGGAGAAACCAGAAAGGGGAGGCACATCTGTGCCCTTGTCCTCGCCTCCCTTAGTGGCCCTGGGGACCTCCGTGCCACATGGCTGCCGTCTTACCTGCTCTGTAGACCCTCTTGCTAGCACTCCCTCCCGTGGCTTCCTGCACACAGACTGTCCTGGCTGCCCCCTCCTCAACGATGCTCCTTCTTAGCTTCCTCCTCCTCTTCCTGATCCCTAAATATTCATGAGTCCCAGACCTGGGTCCTGAGCCCTCATTCAGGACACTACGGTTTTTACCATTGGCCCTCCACAGTGGGTCCCCAATGCAGCAGCTGGGGACAGGGTCCACACATTGCCACCAGACCCCTTCCCACCGCCCTCCCATCTGCTGTGATGTCAGTGCTGCAAACGTGCCAGCCCCTCCTCTTTCCAGGACTTCCAAAACTTCTATTTGCTCTGCTGGGCTGCACTTCTCCCAGCAAGGTCAGACCAACCCCTGCTCCTCTTCCAGAGAGCAGCTTAAATGTCACCTCCTCAGGGAGGCTGCTCCTGAGGCTGACCCCAGGGCCCCACCTCTAACACATTACATCTTTCCCTCTCGCACTCAGCAGCCTGAATTTATCTTGCTATTTGTAATTTACAGACTCTAGTGGGGATGCCTGGCTCTTGTTCACACCTGTGGGAACGTGTGGAATAGCACGTGGTCAGTGCCCGGTGTGGGTGCACAAGACCTCTGCATGCACTGGACAAACTCCCACTTGCTTGGCCCGACCATGACACCCTCCTCACCCCATGTCTTGGGGTGGCCTGGTGGTTCTCACCTTGGTCATCTCAACATGGGGCTGCCCTAGGCCAAGGCTGACCCCTCCCCCAGTACGGGAAACCCTGTAATAGTTCCTCCTATTCCATCAGTGAAAGGAAGATACAAGGTCAGGGAAGAGGGGTCCTTTCTGGAATTCTTTAGCCGTCTGAGCTGGTGATGCTTCTGGAGGCTTCTATACCCCCAGCGTGTCCCCGTGGAGCCTCAAGAGCTGCCTCTGATGACAGAGGGGCCTCCAGCCTAAGGTGTCTTCAGAGTCTCCTCAAACTAACTGCTCAAGTGTCCTCTAAGTTGCAGTAACTTAGACTGGAGGGGCCACCTCATTCTTCTTAGGCAAGCAGTGGGGTGTGTGTGTAGGTGTGTGTATAGGTGTGGGTGTAGGGGTGTGCATATGGGGGGGTGGTGTGTGGGGAGAGGTGTTGCTGGCAGGTGAATACACCTGGCCATCCCTTCTAAAAGCCAGGTCCTTTTGTCTGTAGGTCACCATGGGAGAGACTGCCTCCAGCTCTAACACCTGATTATCATGAGGGGAGACTGTATCAGCCAGGGTGGGAGTGTCATTGCAGAAAACCCTTAATTTCCAGGCAGAATGGGGCCCCTTGAGCACACCCAGAGGACTGAGGCTGGCCCATGGATTAGAGCTGGGAGCTGGCCCTGCTGACCTGGGAGGATAAGGGGACTGACCCTGCTCTAACACCTGATTATCATGAGGGGAGTCTGTATCAGCCAGGGTGGGAGTGTCATTGCAGAAAACCCTTAATTTCCAGGCAGAATGGGGCCCCTTGAGCACACCCAGAGGACTGGGGCTGGCCCATGGATTAGAGCTGGGAGCTGGCCCTGCTGACCTGGGAGGATAAGGGGACTGAGGGCAGCAAGTGATTCCATTTCTCTTTCCTCCTTCCTGCAGCCATGAAGTCAGGGGGCACGCAGCTCAAGCTCATCATGACGTTCCAGAATTACGGGCAAGCACTCTTCAAACCCATGAAGTAAGTGCCAAGGCTTGTTGGGATCTGGGTTGCAAGGTCGGAGAGGGCCCATGCTGGAGCCCATGCTGGCACTAAGCTTCTGGTGGGAAGGGCTGTGTTTCCTCCTAGAAGCGTTTTGGGGTGAACTGTGAGTTACCGTCTCACTTGCCCCACCGTGGCAAAATAGACAACAAGGGTGACCTGGACCCTCACTTCTTCTCCCCTCCCGTGACCTCCCCACCGCCTCCCTTATTATATAGTTGAAAACCTACACGTGGGTCATTCCTACCCATGTCAGAATAAGCACTTGTATTTTAAACAAGGAACCTGGATTGTGGACTCCAAAGGATGCCTCTCTAAAGAGGTGACTTCTGTGCCTTTCCTGCACTACTAAGGAGCAGCAGACTTTTTCTATGAAGGGCCAAAGAGTAGTAGCTATTTCAGGCTTTGCAGGTCGTGTGGTCTCTGCCTCAGCTACTCAGTCTGCCATACGTAACATGTAAACGATGGGGAAGTTTCAAATACAACTTGGTGGGCAGGATTTGGCCCACTGACTACAGGCTGCCTTGTTCAAGATAAAATAGAAACTTTGTCACCAAAATCAATGTTGAAGGACTCTGTGGCACATGAAAATTTGTGGGGGTGGGTGGTGGAGAAAGAACACCTGAAAGCTATACCACCCCAGGAAATTCAGGATGTGCACCTGTGGTTTGTGACGTCCACTCTGATGATCATGGAGCTTGGATACCCTGAGCCATCCAAGGTTGTTCTGCCATCTTCTGTTAGTTCCACACAAGGTCATTTTTGCACTGGCAGAAGAGATTTCGTGGTGTTTAAAGCATGGGTTGCACACCCAAATGCCCATGAGGACATGCAAGTCATGTGAGTAAGGCTGCTGGGCTGGGCAGGGACTGTGGCAAGCTGCAGAGGATGGGTCCCACTGGAAGGGGACAACTGTCTGGTGGTTCACCAGATCTTGGCCATTTAGCCTGATTTCTAATTTTCAAGATAAAGTAGAAATATGAATTTTTTTTTCTCTTTAATCTTCTAGTTTAAAAAATGATGGTGACTAATTCAGAAGCATTTAAAATACCTTGCACATCAAGCAATATAACTCTAATTTGCGACTTGCCGCTGAAGGCATATATTTGTAGCCGGGCTTAGTTTCTGGGTGTCCCATTTCCCTGGACAGATGTCCTGGATGGACTCAAGAGAGGGAACGTTGGGCCTGCCCCGGGCTTCCCCAGGAATCCACCTGGCCTGCCTCAGATCTAGGGCTGCCTGGAGCAGGTGGAGTGAGTCACAGCCTGGAGCCCGGGGCTGAGAGCACACAAGTCTGAGAAAATGCTGTTCACAGAAGTTGAAAAGAAACCAGGAGAGTGGAAAGGTCTGGACCTATTGGCTGCTGGTGTGGGATGGAATGACTGTCCTTGCTTCCTACTACATGGTGTGGGGCCACTCTGTATCTGTGTCCGGGCTGTGTGAGCACGGACACTCCCTCCCCTGTTTCTGTGCATGGAAGTGAAATTCGTTATCCCCTTATGAGTGTCTGCACTGAGGAGGGAGCTGCAGTGGGCTTGGCCTGAGAGAAAGTGGACGACTGGACGCTGCCCGTTGTATAACCGTGAGGGGTGTGGATGGCCAGCCTGGGTCACGCATCCCCAGCCCTGCTGAGCGAGACAGGAGGTGTCTGCACAGCTGGAGGGGAGTGGGGCCTGGTGCAGGCCCCTTGGCCTCCTTGGGCTGCTTCTTAGATTGAGATCCTGAGATCAAAGCCTCTCAGAGATTCTTGGGCTTACTTAAAGGAGGCTATTTTAAGGCCCCTCATTATCATGACATTGTTGTGCGTAGCTGGGGAGGGCAGGTGACAAATGGGCTCGGATAGGCGGCTGCTGGGCAGGCCCTTTAGTGACAATTACTGGAATCTGGGGACAATAGCTGAAAATGACAATGTCTCCATCTCCCCTTCAGCTGTGCTTCAAGGGCACAGGCACCAGCTACGAGGGACAGATTTATGCCTCTCTCTGGTGGGTGCATTTTCCGGTCTAGCAAAATGTGTCCAGGTACAGTCAGAGCTGCTTGGGAGTCCCTGAGGAGGCTGGAAGTAGTGGTCTCTGTCACCCGCAAGTTACAAGGGGTTAAGTCGCATGGACGCAGGGCCTGCCCCCCTGTGACTCCCAGTAGGGAGCAGAGAGTGATTCTGGATTCCAGGTCTCCTCCTGTTCCTGGGTGAGCCCCTGTGAATCCCCGAGACTCAGTTCCAGGTCTTTGAGGAGTTAGAATGTACAGCTGTGGTTAGTAATGACAACAACCATAACAATGACATTTAATGAGCTGCTCCTCTGCCAGGCTCTTCAATCACTGGCATTTCTTGAGCATTTACTAGCTGTGGACCAGGCTCTGTGCTAAGTGTTTATGTAAGTAAACCTTTCTGTTTTGTTCTACTGCCATGGAAAGATGAGGGAGCTATGCTTGGAGAAGTAGGATAGATTGCTTGAGGTCGGACCCAAGCCTCCAGAGTCCCCTTAAGCCCAGGGTGCCCTGCCTACCAGCCACCCCCTCTCCTACCACCATGGTGGGCTCTGTCACCGTCCCCTCCATGGTCACATGAGGGGCTGAGCTCAGAGGTCAGGTGACCTGCTGTGGTCAAGTAGCTCCCGTTTGACCCCTTCCCCTCACTCGGAACTTGGAACTCCCAGCCCATTTGTGGGGATCCTGCCTCTCTGGCTTGTCTGAGGCCTAGGCCAAAGATGGGCAGTGTGGGACAGGGCAGTGCCAGCAGTTGGTAGAGGCCTGTGTGAAGTGTGGGCTGAGTGAGAAGATCGAGGCTGGTTCGACTGTAACCGTGGAAACAGAGTTCAGAATCCTGCAGCAGTTGGGGAAACTGAGGCCTGGAAAGGGAAGGGATGTGTTCAAAGCTATGGGCATCCTGAGGCCAGCCCAAGTGCCTTCTTCTCACAGTGTGCATGGGGGAGATGAAGGCAGAGGTGGGAACCCCACACCAGCAGGCGGGTGCCAGCGTTTCACAAACCACTGACATTATCCCCTCACCCCGACATAGCTTGGTCCTCTTCCTGCTCCTCCGTACGTCAGATCTTGGCATTTCTTGGCACCCGGGACTCTCTTCCACCGACCAAGGCCTGAGTCGGTCATTGATTGTGGTCCGGTGGCCGGCAGCTCCCCCAGTCTACGTCAGATCTTGGCATTTCTTGGCACCCGAGACTCTCCTCCACCGACCAAGGCCTGAGTCGGTCATTGATTGTGGTCCGGTGGCCGGCAGCTCCCCCAGTGACCTCGGGGGCCGTGCCCAGGGCCTGGGGGGGACGTCTGCCTGCACATTTCTTGTTCCCCAGTGGCTGTGTTTTGAATACAAAAACTGCTGTGGTTCACGACCATAGCATTCAGAAATTAAAACCCACAATTAGTATTTCACTTTAAGAAAGGACTTTCTTCTATGAGCTCATAATAGCTGATATTGTTAAGTTCTCAGTACAATATTATGAATTAATTAGATGGACACAACATTTTTCCTCTGAGATCTTACAGGATATAAATTGAGAGGGCAGGAGTAGGGCCCAGGTATCCTGCAAAGTGTAACGTATGTGGCATGAGGGTGACCACTTAAAGTTTTAGTTTATAGGTTCTTTATTTTAAATAGACATCGAAAAACACATGTAACTAGCACATTAGCCCAAGAGCTCTCGGATATTCTTGCTTTAGAGTTAGATTAAAGTAAGTATTTAAGTTTTTTTTTAAACAACTTTATTGAGATATAATTCACATACAGTACAATTCATGCACGTGAAGTCTACAATTCAGTAGCTTTTAGTACATTCCTAGAGTTGTGCATTCATCACCACAGTCAATTTTAGTCATTTTCTCATTGTTATAGAAAGAAATCCCTTACATCACTCCTCAGTCCCCTCCAATCTACCCAACAGCCCCTGACAACCGCTAATCTCCTTTCTTTTTCTCTATGGATTTACTTATTCAGGATTTTCATATAAATGGAATCATACAATATGAACGTTTTCATGAAATATGTACTTTTTCATAAATGGCTTATTTCACTTAATGTATTTTCAAGATTCATCCAAGTTGTAGCCTGTGTCAGGATTTTCTTCCCTGTTATTGCTGAATAATATTCCATTGTGTGGCCAGACCATATTTTGTTGACCCACTCATCAGTTGATGGGCATTTGGGTTTCCACTTTTTTTTTTTCCCCTTTTTGTCTTTTATCCTGTCCGGCAACGGATCGCAACCCTCAGTGTCGCGCC